AAGAACACTAGCTGCTCTTCCGGAGGTCCTGAGTCCAGTTCCCAGAAATCACATGATGGTTCATAACCATCAATAGTGAGATCTGGTGCCCTCTTCTGGTGTGCTGCATAAATAACAAATAAATTAATTTAAAAAAAAATGGTGATTGTGGCTCACACCTTTAATCCTAGCACTCAGGAGGCAGAGGCCTGTCAATTTCAGGCCAGCCTGGTCTACAAAGGGAGTTCCAGGACAGACAATGCTGTTACACAAAACAAAAAAGGAGCTACTTATAAACTGTAGAGACACACAAAAGAAAACCTTAGAATCAACTTTCCACATATAGGACCTTATACTTTACACACCAGAATGAATGAATGAATGAATTTATTTTTTGAGACAGGGTTTTTCTATGAAGTCTTGGCTGCCCTGGACTCACTTTGTAGATCAGGCTGACCTTGAACTCACAGAGATCCGCCTGCCTCTGTCTCCCAAGTGCTGGGATTACAGTCATGCGCCACCACACCCGCCCCAGAATGAATTTAAACCTAAAGCGGCCATCAGCCACCTGTTTATACCAGTTCTGAGGAATTTGGAATAGCAACCTTTTCCTTTTGAGCAAGCCTAGGACACCACACCCAGGTTTTATACTTTTTGTGTGTGAGACAGGACCTTACCATGTAGCCTTAGCTGGACCAGGACTTGCTATATTGTAGTGAGAGTTTAGGCCTCTTTAAAAACTCAGTTATGTTATGTAAACTTGTTTTTGTTTTAATCCCAGGTGTGGGATATGGGGCTGCTTCAGACTGTCCACAGCGGCAGACTATTCTCATGCGGGCTCTGAGAGGGCTGTGATCTTCACCAGCTGTGGATAGTTTAGTTCTGGGAACTCAGCGAATGAATGCCAGGGCCCAGAGAGGGGCTGGGGGTCACACCAAGAAAGTGAGGTGCTGCTGTTGTTCCCCTGTTGCTCTAGGTTGTTGTCATTGTGATCTGAGGAGTTAGAGATCCTGGCTATGAAGACTGGACTTGCCCCAAGGAGCCCTAAGCAGCAGAAAGTAGTCAAAAGAGAACTATGACCTCTTTCCCCATTAGCCTTTCTCTCTTTCTTTCTCTCCTACCTGTTGTCGGAAGGGGTTGGGGTGGAGAAGGGAGATAGAGGCATAAGAACCCAATAATGTAAAGAGTATACCAATACTACATCCCATGATAAACCCTGTACCAAAACAAGAAAAAAGGGGGGGTGGGGTGGCTCACAGGTTGTCAAAAAGCATTTGTTCTTACAGAGGACCTAGACTTGTTTCCCAGCATCCACATCTGGGAGCTCACAAGTGTCTGTTACATAATTTAAAAATAACTTATATATTGGTCTTTTGCTTACATGTATCTCTGTGCATGTGAGAGCATCTTGCTTGCATAGGGTGGCAGGCAGCTTCAGATTCCCTGGAACTCCTTATATAGATGGTTGTGAGCAGCCATGTGGGGGCCAGAAACTGAATCCTGGTCCTCCTTAAGAGCTGCTAGTGCTCTTAACCAGAGCATCTCTCCAGCAACTTCACAAGAACCTTTCACTGCAGTTCTGGGCGATTTGCACCTCACATCGTTGGCCAAGCTTAGTGCTTCCCTCAATATGCCTGTCCATTCTAACTGCTCTTGCAGAGGGTCGCTGGCTCTCAGCGATGTGGTGGCTTAGAGCGAGATGAGAGGAGGCACCTCATCTCCTGCAGGTCCATACTGAACAGTCATGAAGGCACATACATGCATGTTAAAAAAGGGATGCAAGGGGAAGGCACACGCCTTCTAGTCCAGAACTTGGCAGGCAGTGGCAAGCCTTAATTTCCAGCTATCCAGAGCTACATACGTAGAGTACCTGTCCCAAATCATTTAGTGAATTAAAAACCTTTTTAAAACTAAAGGGAGCCAGAGGCAAACAGATCTGAGTTTGAGGACAGCCTAGCTTACATACTAAGTTTCAGGGCACCTGGACTCCCTAGTGAGATGGTGAATATAACTTTTGGCTCAGTGGTTAAGAACACGGGCTGCTCTTCCAAAGGACCACAGTTCAATTCCCAGCACCCACATGACAGCTCAACGCTGTCTGTAATTAGTTTCAGGGGATCTGACATCCCACAGATATATATGCAGCCAGAACACTAATGTACATGAAATAAAAATGAAAAAATTTAGAAGTCTAAATTGACCAAAATGTTTTATAACTCTTATGGTACCAGAGCTCATCTGTAAAACTGACCATGGAGCATAAATCCTAAGGCCGTTCAACTGCTGTTTTCCACATCTGGGAAGATGGCCTGGTGGGGCAGATAAGCAAGGCCTCTCTCAGAGGACGAGTTTGATTCCCAATACCCCCATGTGGGTTACAACTTAAACTCCACTCTGACTTCTGCGGACACCAGATTTGTATGTACACAGTGCACACATACATGAAGGCCCAACACATCAAAAATTTCAATCTTACTAGTTTTCCACATCTACAGATTTCTGCCCCCTTGTGGCCAAACTGATTGGAAACTGCTACCGACTTTAGAACACTGGCAAACACTCTTGTTTCTAGGGGCCAGCATGGTAGGCTCAAACTGGTAGTCATGTGTTGCCTAGGACCCTTCCAGACCGCCTCAATCCCTCAAATGTGGAACTGAACTGGGTGCTATTTCCATTGCTTCAGGGGACAAAGAAGGAACTGAGCAATGCTTGAGTTAAAAAAAAAACACCTCAGGGCCCCAAACCTGCCTGTGGGGTTCCCCTGTTTGGATGCAGGTAAGAAGGCCTCAGCACTGTATTACACACAGCAGGGCAGAATAGGACCCAAGCCATGCTCACCATGTTTGATGCACTGAGCTTATTAACTGGTATTAACAGACACACATCCCCTAAATACAAGATGCCAAAATACAAGAATTCCCTCTAACATAGAGCAGCCAAGAGCCAACAGCACAGGCTTAGAAGAAAAAGGATGCACAGAAGCCCAGTTTTTGCTTTACGGAAAATTTATTAAAACATTCCAACAGCGTATTACTTTTTCTTTTCAACATCTTGCTCTGCAGCTTCCTTTGCCCTTTTTGCTCGGATGCCAAAGAGCCGGGCATTGGCCCGGGCCATGCGAAGACTGGCAAAAGCCTTAAAGTTCTTTTCTTCTTCTGTGATGACTCTGGCTTTCTCCTTTTTGTAGACCTGCAGAGAGGACAGATGTCAGGGTGGCCTAGACTATAACCTGTCCACAGGACTGTAACACTGCCTCAACTCTCAAGAGCTACAGGCTTTCCGGCACACACAGGACCCCCGTCCTGGACTGAATAAATCGCCATAGTATTTGGGAGGTTGAAATGCGGAGAATCTCAGTTTAAGACAACCTGGACTACAAGGCAAATTCTAGACTTCTTGGCTTACACTCAAGACACCCTGCCTCAGAAAATAATCAGAGCCATGGCCTCAGTAACATGCTGTTAGCTAGTTTTATGTTAACTTGATAGAGGGGAGCGCTTCAATGAGAAACTGCCTCCACAAGAGTGGTGGCCCACCCCTTTATCCCAGCTGCAGAGGGAGGTAGCTTTACAAAGTGAGCTCCAAGACAGCCAGGGCTACAGAGAAACCCTGTCTAGAAAATCAACCAACCAACCAGAAGTCCTGCCTTGGGGGGCGGTGTGTGTGTGTGACTGGATTAGGCTGTAGGCAAACCTATAGGACATTCTCTCAATCTGTGACTTATACTTCTCTCTGTGGCCTATGCATCAGCTCCTGCCTGCAGGTTCCTGTCCTGACTTTCTCCAATAAAGGACTACAAGGTGAAAATACAAGCCAAAACCTGGTTCTGGCCATGGTATTTCATCCCAAGAGAAATCAAAACTAGGCTGCATACCACGGCCCCTTCAGACAACAGATGCACCCACGAGCACTCACTAGCATTCCAAATAAGCGGGCTCATGCGGGTAGCTGGCCAGTGGCACTACTAGCCTTTAATCTTTCATCCCAGCACTTGGGAGGCAGTGGCAGTCTGTGTTCTCTGTGAATTTAAGGCCAGCCCAAAGCTACACAGAGAAACGCCCAAGAAAACAAAAACTTCGATGTTGTTCCCAAGTGGTTTCTTTTAACAGCCTGAAATTCTCACTAACCTCCAACGTTTGCCACAACTCATTTTCTTCCTGCCCACCTTATCTAAAGCATTAATTAAAAGCCTGCCTGCATAAGCCAAGAGTCCACTTACATTCCGGATGGGCATCACAGGTCCTGATAGCTGGGTGGCCAATTTAAGCTCTTCAGCCTGTTTTTAAGAACAAGAAAAGTTGAGTCCAGCTTCTCTCACGCCTGTCACAGACTGTTGTGATAGGCTTGTTCCGCTCCTAAGGAACGGGCTGCCTGGCTCTGGAGCACTCACCATTTCATGGCCCCTGAGAGTGGCTTACTAAGAGGGAAGGAGGACCCTGCTCCACCGAGGGAACCGAACCTTCTAACCACACTTTCAGGAAGCCCACACCTGGTACAAGGCTCCTTTGCATTTCTGAATACTGAGACACTTTATGTGCAGAAACGCTACTGGATGTTCTTTCAGGGGCAAACGCTATAGAACAGTAAGTCAGGACCCAAGTCAACAGCTTCCAGCCTTAGAAATACAGGGAAGCAGAGACGTCACAGCATTGATCTCCACGCGTCAATCCTGTCATCTCACACTGCTGAGGTGTTTTGGAGAACGACTTGGCAGGGCTAGATCCAGACCCAGACTTCTCTACACTGAGGCAAACCTTCAACACCCCGCTAGACCCACTGCACTTACAGAACTATCTCCCTTCTTGGGAGCAGAAGGCTTCCTGGGGAAAAGTATGAGCTTGGAGCGGTACTCCTTCAGGCGCTGCACGTTGGCCTGTAGTGACTCCGTGGACTTGTTTCGCCTCCTTGGGTCCACAGAGATGCCGATGGTGCGAGCCATTTTCTTGTGGATGCCAGCCACCTGTCCAAAAAACAGACAGGGATGAAACACCTCACAGCCCCTCCCCTGCTGGCCCTGCCAGGAAAACTCGGCGTTGTCAGATGGAAAAGGGTTCAAAAGTACTTTCATCAAGACAGTACAGAGATTCCGGAGAATGTCATCATTTCACCGAGCCCCAGCGCGCCCAGCAGAAACCCTACTGCACTCACCCGGAGCTCTTCCAGGCTGAAGCCCCTGCCGGCTCGGACCTTGGTGTGGTATCGGACTGTAGGGCACCTCACTATGGGCCTGATGGGACCGGACGCGGGACGAGGGGCAATGCGGCGCGCTTTCGCCTGCCGGGCCTTACGCCTGCAGGAAAAACAGGACAGTCACCTCTGGCTCACACGCGTCCACTCCGGCGCCCCGCCCTGAAGGCCACGCAAGGCCCGTGCGCCCCACACCTGCGGATCTTGCGTGCCGGCTGGTTGAACCAAGTGTCCACTCGCCGCTGCCAATCCTTGTGGAAGTGGGGCTTCAGGATCATGCCATTCCGGCTGGGCGCCATGGCTGCCTACGGCGCGAGGGAGAGGAGGGCGGCAGATGAAGGCCAGAGTCCCGAGCCCCCGCCCGGAGTTCTCCCGCCCCGGCCCCGGCTCCGGCCCCATGCTGTCGGCGCCTAGGCTCCTCCATGGCCGCGCGAGCAGCCTCTCTTTGCCGATGACAACGGATGAGGCGCGATGGAGCCCGATGCAACGCAACCGGGCGGCCGGCAGTAGAGACTCACCTCCCGTGCAGGAGAACGGCCGAGCGGAAAGGACCGGGCACCGCAAAGCACCCTGGGGTTGTAGGGAATCCGGCCAATCCAAAGCACCAATGAAAAGCAGGTGGGTGCGGAAGTGACGTCACAAGGCCCGCCCTCAGGCGGACTATTGCCTCTCTAGCCGTTCGGTTGGAGTTTCTCGCTGGTTCCCAACGTTGCAGGATGAAAAGCTTCTGTGGAAGCTGGCGAATCGGAGGCGCATAGATAGATCTATGAATTGGAGCCTTATAGATTCTTCTCCCTCCTGGGTCCCGTGTTCTTTCGCCTTCCACTCAGGAACTTTTATGCGTCTTTCTTTATTCTTTTAAGAGCTGTGGTTTCTGTGTTGCTCTGACTTGCCTGGAACTCAGGCTCCCCTTCCGTAGAGCTGAGACTACGGGCAGGCACCACAATTCCCGACTGGTTTTGTTTTTGTTTTTCGAGACTTTTATTTATTTTTGCTTTCTCTGTATGAGTCTTTCCCTGACTCATGTCTGTGCGTCGGATCTCTTAGGACCGGAGTTACTGGGAATTGAACCTATGGAAGAGCAAGCAGCCAGTGCTGGTAAAGAGTGAGTTATCTCTCCAGCCCCAAACTCACCATTTATTTAGATGAATCTTTTAGCCTAGACTTAACTCCTCTGGGATCAGGTGTGACCAAATGCAAATATTGCGCTCCTACCACAATGGATGCGACAACAAAACATGAAACAGCCAAGGCAAACATTTGTCCTGCATCTGTATGCCAATAACCTTGTCTTTTTCACTGCTCATTCCCAATTACCAGGTTTCTTCCTGATGAAAATTCCATTATAGCAGCTGTAGGAATGGCTCAGTAGTTGAGAATTATAAATTAAAAAAATCTACATTACAGCTGGGCCTGGCGTCACAGACCTGTAATCCCAGCTATTCTGGAAACTGAGACAGTTTCAATGATTTCTTGAGCAACTTGTTCGTGAGACCCTCTTTCAAATTAAAAAAAAAAAAAGGGTTGGTTGGCAGGGTAGCTCAGAGGGTTGAGCGTGCTTGCTGCCCAGTCTGACCGTTTGATTCCTGGGGCCCACGTGGTTGAAGGAGAAAACTGAGATGCCCAAGCTGTCTGCTGAGCTCCCTATGTGAAACGTGGGATGCTTACACACACTCAAAGGAAATGTAATAATGAAAAGAGGGCTGAGGATGTAATTCAGTGCAGAGCTTGTCTGCTGTGACTCTAGGTTCAATACTCAGTATGGGAAAAAACCCACATTCTGTGTGTGGATGTGGAGGCCAGAAGCTAGTCCAGAGAAAATGTCTGTTGAATGAATGCCTTGATCCAAGCTTCATTTCTTCGAATCAGTCACCTAGCATGTGTTTTCTCAGACCCATTTCAATATTCCCACCAAGTACCTGGCTCCCTCTGCTATCAAAGGTTATTTCCATCTCCACCACCAATTTTTCTTTCTGGACAAACATGCAGACTCAGGTAAACACCACTAACCTAGACCTGCACCTGATTGACAGCTTTAGCTTCAGTGCTGCTGGAGACACTGAGTGGGTATTAGCTGTCTGAAATTCAAACACTGCTTAGAATCAAGTTAGCTGAAGGGAAGACACAGAAGTGACCACAAAGACTGGTAGTTTTTCAAGCTCTAGCCATAGGTACAGTTCCTGTTCTGGACAGAGAGCTCTGCAGACACAGTTCTGCCCAAGAGCTTCCTTTATGACACCTTGCCCGAGATGCATGTTCTGCACAGACTTGCAGTTCCTTGCATGTCCAGCCCTAGCTTCTTACGGCTGTGATGTGCTCATCATCTTCAGGCAAGCTTTTCCTGCAGTAGCCCCCTCCCTTTCTTGTGGATGCTTACCGAAATTTAGGTGTTTGAGAGTGTCAAAAAACTCTAGCCTAATCCAGTAGTAAGCTTTCTTGGTGTTTTTTTTTTTTTTTTTTGGTTTTTCGAGTCAGGGTTTCTACATGTAGGCTATCCTAGAACTCATGCTACAGACCACGTTGGCCTCAAATTTCCACCTGCCTCTGTCAGTAGTTACTTTGCCATTCATAATCTAGAACTCCTTTAGACACATAACCATGATTCTTACTTTTAGATTACTAATTTAATATTTATGTGTGCAAGTCTGCATGAATTATGTGTCCCACATGTGTTCTGGAGCCCACAGAGACTGGAAGAGAGCACTGGATCCCTCAGAACCAGTTACACAGGTGGTGGTGCTGGGGCTCGAACCCTGGGTCCTTCCGCAAAAGCCGTAAGCACTTAACCACAGAACCATGCATTAAGAGTGGCATTGGGTTTCTAGATTTGTGGTGCACACCTGTAACCCCATCAGAAGGCAGAATTGGAGGATGGTTGCACACCCCATGCCAGCCAGGGCTACATAATCAGGACCTGCTCTCCAAAACACAGAACAAAAATTAGGGTTGGAGAGCTGGCTCAGTGGTTAGGAGCACTTAACTGTTCTTGCAGAGGACTTGGGTTTAATTACCAACACCCACATGGTGGTCACAACCATTCACAGCTGTAGTGCCAGGGGATCAAATGGTCTCTTCTGACATCCAAGGGCACCAAGTACTTGCATGGTGGCACCAAGCACGTGCATGTGGCCATATATGCAGGCAAAACATTTACACACAAAACTTTAACATTTATAAAAAGGAAAAACACACACAAAAGTAGGCAGATGGGATTTTTCCAAAGACAACAGTCTTTACATTATCATTTATTTTAGAGATAGGGTCTCACTATGCAGTTCTGGCTGGTGTGGACTCTATAGGTCAAATAAGCTAGGCTCAAAACTCATCAATATCTGCCTGTTCCTGCCTCCCAAGTGCTGGGATTAAAGGCTTGTGCCACCAATTCTGGCATATTTGGTGTGTATGGGTCTGGGCGTATATGTGCCATGACATGGACTGGTCAGAGGACAGCTACAGGAGTCCAGCGACTGAATTCAGGTTATTAGGTTTGCAGTTATCTTGCCTGTCCAAGGCCCTGCTTTAGAGAAATATAAAAACCTAATTATGTGCTAATCTTTGTAAGAACCAGAACTCAGATGAAACTTGAAATGTTCTTACAAACCCCTTGAACCAGGCCAGATGCTGCTGATCCTGCGGCTGCTTCTGGCTGCCCAGCAGCTTCCTTAGGTGCAGCATGCTAGGCAGTAAGAACAATCTGCTCTGTCAGGACGTCTCTGCAACAGGAAGGGTGGAGGCACCACAGGCAGAAACTGTGAACTGGCAAATGCCCGTGGCCACCCTGCATGGTTTGAGCTCAGATGCCTGTACAAAGGGTGCAAGGTTTGAAGTGAAAACAAGACCCGAGACTACACTGCTCACATGTGGATCCTCTACCACAAACTCTGAGGTGTCAGTTTTGGTGGCGGGAGCCACAAGGACCAGGCAGGGGAGGTTCTCCACTTGCGCGTGCACACAGCAGCAGGTGGCAGTATGTGAATCTTCCAGGACCCAGCGCCTGTTCCTGACTGTGGCCCCTCAATGAGTAAGCACTGTCACGAGGACAGTTGGCTCAGAGGGTCTTTCATCTTGGATCCTATTAGCATTCTGAGGGTCCAGGACACAAACAGGGGGATCATTCAGTCTAACTGCTGGGCTACCTTCAGATCTACATGCTACAATGGAGACGGCATCTGAAGCCCCAGGGACTCAGCTCGAGCACACACACTTCCACAAGAAAAGCGATACACATGGAAAGTTCAGGTGTCTCTGCAAACAGTTTACTGATCATAAATCAATAAATAGATAACAGAAGTCTTCATCAAAAACCAGAGGCTGACAGGATGAGGTTCAAGTTCAGGTGAGAAGAATCTCAAAGGCTGATGGCAGCTGGCTGACAAGTTCTGTGATGACTGCAGGTGCAGTTGAGGAAAGCAGTTCTCTGGGCCTAGGGAGCCGGAGCCTCCTCCTCCCCTGGGGCTTGTTTCTCCTTTTCAGCATCAATCCATTTCTGCGGTGCAATCATTTTCTTTGGCCCATGGGGCGGTGGGCCAATGAGGGCCTCAATGTCCTCATAGTTTATCACTTCCTTTTCCAGAAGGGCATTCGCCAGCTAGAAAGAACAAACACGGCAGTGTGAGTTCCTGGACAAAGACAAGAGCCTTGGAGGGCAGAGCATCAGAGATGGAAAGCCAGCCCACAGAATGTCTCTGTGTCCCAGTGGAGGAGGAGGGCAGGTCTGGAAGCAGGATGCCTTCTCAGAGAGATGCAGGCGCAAGGCAGTTCAAGCAAAGAATTGCTCCCTGTCTTTACCCTAAAAGTGATGTCAGCTGCCAGCCTCATTAATACTCCTATTTCCTCTTAAAACCTCTGCTTATTTCTGGCAACTGAAACTTCCTTCACCAAACAAGGTATGTGTGTCTGGGAGAGGCAGGCAGGG